TATATAAATTGATTAATAGATAATATTTACTTATTTATTTATTTCATTTCATTTTAATGTATACAACAATATGTATTTATAACAAAAATGCAGATAGAATTTATACCAGATAATTTAACATTTTATACAATTCTTTTAATTTTAATTTACAGTACAATTGCAAAGTAATAATTAATTGTATAGATTATTATAATGCTATAATAAATTCAAAAACATTTTGTCATGTTTTTTAGTCTAAAAACTTATTGTTAATATTCCAAATAAATTTAATCTAAAAATCTTAATCAACATTATTATTGATTTGTTCATATGGATCTTGAATGTGTGCAGGTGGTTCCATATAAACATCTCCACAAACTTCAGTTCAATTCAATTCAATTCAAAATAAATTTATTCTAAATCTTTTCAAAGCATAGATAAACAGTACAGATATATAAAAATGGAATTGGAAAGGGCAACCACAAACAAGCAGAGCTTTACACTAGTGGTGCCCGAAAAAAAGTAATTAAGATACTATTTCAAATTGACAAAGTAAGTCAAGATATACATTTTAATTAAAGCACTTTCATATCATAGATCAAGACAATAATAATAATAATAATAAGAAGAAGAAGAAGAAGAAGAAGAAGAATAATAGCAAAGAAAAGAAAAATAAAATAAAAATAAATAAAAATAAATAATAAATAATAATAATAATAATGATAAAATATAAATAATATGTCCTTCTTAGATAGCAATTTAAACACTGTAAAATTATATAAATAATTAAATTAAATAGCAGCAATAAAGCAACATATAAATTGCACTTAAACATCATTGACTATTATTGACAAATTTCTTTACAAATAATGCAATTGTTCCCGTCCTGGCAGTGGTACCGTTTCATCTTATAACTTTCATGATAAATATTATTCATTTTGTTCTTAAATAGTGAAATATTAGCACATGCTCTTACATTGCTTGATATGTGGTTCCACACCTTAGGCTCTATATACGAGATCCCTTGTCGGCCAACATTTGTGCGTTTTAAGTCGATAACAAGGTTTTGCTTATATCGTGTATTATGATTATGGTACGAGTCAAGTGTACGGAACAACAAATCAAAAGTTTCTGGTAATAAACCCTTATCATATAAAAACATTAAGTTGGCTACATTTTTTTCGTATAAATCAAATATGTTTAAAGTATTGGTTTTAACAAAAAGTTGAGCAGATGGGTGTAGATAATGTATATTACATACGATTCTGAGTACTTTCTTCTGTAATACATGGATTCTATTTAAGTTTGTCATGCTACCAGAACCCCATATCGTGATCCCATACGTTATAATAGGAAGGACAAGAGACTTATAAATAGTAAGCAGTATGTGATATGGTAGCAGATTTTTAAGGAGATTCATTGCTCCAATAATTGCAGACACCTTACTAGCAATAACATTTACATTTTGAGAAAAATTAATTTTTTCATCAAGAGTGATACCAAGGAATTTAATTTTGTCTACTATCTCAATAATGTCTTGGTCAATGACGAGTTCGACATGCGCTGTGTTAATAATTGTATTTCTACCACTAAACACCATCAATTTAGTTTTTTTGGTATTAACAGTAAGCTTGTTTGCTTTAAACCACATATTTAAGCGTTTTAACTCCTCATTCATTATATCGAATGCTTCATTTATGTTACTGTGTTTTAAGAAAACATTGGTATCATCTGCAAATGTTATTAATTGAGTTTTGGTACATACTGAAGGCATATCATTGACAAATAGTAAAAATAACAATGGACCCAGGATAGATCCCTGGGGAACTCCATACTTTACCAACTTTCTTTCAGACTGTATATTATCTAAAGCTACAGATTGTTCTCTTCCACTTAAATAACTACAAAACCATTTAAGTACAAGACCTCTGATGCCACAATAAGGTAGTTTTTGTAGAAGAACTTTGTGACCTATCGAATCAAACACCTTAGATAGGTCGAGAAAGACTCCAACAACAAATAATTGGTTGTCAATTGCCGTTGTTATTTTCTCAATCGTCTGAATGAGGGCGTGATTTGTAGAGTGTCCTTCTCTAAAGCCGTATTGTGTTTCATTCAGAATTTTATACTTATTTAAAAAAGAAACCGTTTGGTAATAGACAATTCGTTCATACATTTTTGACATACATGACAATATAGAAATAGGCCTGTAGTTACACATGTCATCCCTTGCTCCACTTTTGAAAATTGGTATAGTTTTTGCAAGTTTAAGCTTCTCCGGGAAAATTCCAGTTGAGAGTGATAAGTTAATCATATAAGTTAAGAGGTATAGCTAATATATCTGAATTCATTTTTAAAAATTTTGCATCAATATCGTCAAGACCAGTTGGTTCCATATAACCATCTTCTCCAACATTAATTGGTTCCATAGAACCATCTTCTACAACTTTAGTTGGTTCCATACAACCACCTTGTCCAACTTTAATTAGTTCCATATAACCATCTTCTCCAACTTTAATTGGTTCCATATAACCATCTTCTCCAACATTAATTAGTTCCATAGAACCATCTTTTACAACTTTAGTTGGTTCCATACAACCACCTTGTCCAACTTTAGTTTAGTTCCATATAATCATCTTCTCCAACTTTAATTTGTTCCATAACCGTCTTCTCCAACTTCTTGTTCAAATATTCCAACTGCTTTCTGTTGTTTACTAGACACTTGATTTAATATGCAAGTTGCATATTGTTTTGTACCGGCTTCAGTTTTATTTATCTTTTTTCTGTTCTTGGTGAGAATGTAACATGAAAATGCCACATTGGCCAGTATGCTTATGGCTCCAATGACAGAAAGTATAGCAATAACTGACCCAAAGTAACTGTTGCAATATTCGTCGTTTGGGTTTGTTGATATGATTGACAACATCTTTGTAGTTTCTACCACACCGACAGTTGACTGATTGTAAGTAAATGAGAACTTTATGTTACCCTTAGCTGTCATTATTGGAGTACCTATGCATTGCTGTGTTGTTGCTGATCCTGAGCTTGTAGCTACGCAGGTGAACCTTTCACCTTGATTTAAAGATTCAGTGGGTATTCTGTATCTTAATTCTATAGAACCAAGTTGGTGCTGTTGAGTTTCTGCTGCCAGTACATTGCCATCTGTGTCAACCCATCGCAGTGTTATTAGTGGATTACCTGGATAACATAAACAAAGCAATCCCGAACTTTTTTTTTTTTTTCGTAGTCATAAAAACAGGAAACTTGAGAAATGACATTCCTTACAATCAATATAGAACAGTTAAACTTTACACTATTATCAGCAATATAATGACAGAAGTACTTCCCATTGTCATCTTCTTCAATTCCATGTACTGTCAAACTTTGTGTAATGTTGTTGCTTATCTTATCTTTTGCAAAACTTGTCTAAGATATTTTCATACTTTCTTTTCAGTAGTAATGATATGGTGTAATTTTAGGTCATCATTTGTATTAATAAATGGGTGTAATTCTATATTGTCAAGTAATTGTATTTTGCAATATAGAAAAGTCATTAGTGCGTATGTTTTGTAGTGGTGGGCAGACTAAGAGGAGATCCTCAATTAAATTACATTGGGTACATTTCCCATTATTATTTGTGGATCAACTTGATGTTTTGAAATTGAGTGGTAGAAAATTTAATCCGAGTTTAAATTGTAATGCAACACCCTCAAAGTCTGTTTTATCAATAAGGTATGATCTAATACAGGATGAGGCATTAAGGATGCATAATCTGAGAGGGATAATTTGTTTTGAACATGCTTTCCCATAACCAAAATATTTGACTTTTCAAAGTTAAAATATAACATTCATTTTTGTGCAAATTTACCTACAGTGTCTAGCAAAGTTGAAATATTTCGTTTAAATTTCAGTCATATAATTTCACTATTATTCTGCATAGGAACGTTGACGCCTGCTAAGGCTCTGGTTAAGTATTTCCTTTATGTTGTCTAATCCAGGGGCTTTGTTGTTTTCCGCAATTAAAACTACAATATCATAACCAATTAAAATTTTATACTGTATTATTGAATATAAAACTAGCTGAACTAAATAAAAAACATACTTGTTTAGCATCACTCCTTTGTAATTAAAATTTTAAAAATTGAGGCAGGATTTTTTTCTTTATTAAAAAAATATATATATATAAAACGTGTATCGAGCACTGTACGTTGCTAGTATTGCCAACTACATTTATTCATTA